GTCATTTTTGGGATTGGCAGGGTATTATAGGAAATTTATTCCTAACTTCAGTGCGATTGCAAGTCCTTTGTCTGATTTGACCAAGAAAGAAAAACCAGTTAAAATCCAATGAACAGAAGAATGTAATAAGGCCTTTACTGAAATAAAACAACTAATGATGACTACACCCTAGGGGCAGTACTAAGTCAGGAAAATAAAGATGGTCAGTTACACCCAGTGTTACTTCTAAGTAAAAAATTGTTACCGAGGGAGAAACATTTGGCCACTATCAAAAAGGAATGTATGGCTATAGTATGGACTTTAAACAAGCTGAAACCATATTTGTGGGGAAGAAAATTCATGGTAAAAACAGATTCACCCCTATGTTGGTTAAATCACACAAAAGATAATAATAGCCAAGATTTCAATTTTTCCATCCAGTATGTAAAAGGTAAAAATAATATTGTAGCTGACAGTTTGTCAAGAAAGCCAGAAGATGGGTAAAATGAAAGATATATATAAGTTGTACAATTATATACAATGTAAAGTGAATATAAAAATGTGTAATCTGTTTTTAAAAGTGTTATTTAATGTTGTGAATGGTTGGGATAAAGATGTTAAGTATAGGGACTGATAAGATGTTTAGATGGAAAAATATGTTTTTCATTGATACACATAACCTGAAAAGGAACTTATGTGTCAATGAACTTTTAAAGGGGGAAAATGTTATGAGAAGGCACGTTAGAGCCAGCCCTGGTGACAACCAATCATGACTGAGCTGACAACACCCAATAGAATGTAAGGGGGAAATTCTGTAAGGAAGAGTTGGAAGTCAGATAGGGTTTGGATTCCAAACAGTGAGGGACTGGTGGTGAAAGTTCAAGAGTGGAACAGGGTTAAGGTCCAGAAGAGAGTGGCCTAATATCCATACTAAATTCCAAGTGAGGAAATTAATAAAGTGAATATCCTGAGGGGTATTGATAGCCTTAGAGGCTGGTTAAGAAATAATGGTAAAGGTACCCAAAGAAGGGCTAAGTGTGACCTGTGAGTGTAATTGAAAGTGTTCCAAGGAAAGGAGTGTTTTAGGGTATTATCATTTGTAACTGGAACCAATTATAACAAGTTCTTCTGGAAGTAGGACTCTGATGTTTTCCCTTGATTATGGGAAGGTATGGCGGCAACAGAGTCAACAGATGTTACAAAAGAAGAAGGGATCGATGTTTAATATCTATCCCTCCTTCAGTTCACTCTATTTCCCAAGATAACTTGGAGAGCACACCAACCACTCCACAGTCCCTTAACCTACTCCTTTGCAATGCCAGGTTGGTCAAAAATAAGACCCATATCATCCACGATCTTATCGAGGATGAGGAGGCCGACCTGGCATGCTTCACTGAGACCTGGCTGGGGAATGCCAGTGCCATGACTTGGGCACAGGCTCTCCCAGCCGGGTACTCAGTCAGTGAGCAGGTGAGGGAAAGTGGGCGGGGGGCAGCATAGCCTTGGTCCACAAGAACACCTTAACCCTAATCAGGAAGCCTATCCGGAAAATGAACTACATCGAGTGTATGTACCTTAGCCTGAAGACCAGGGATAGCTTA